TTTTGTTAGCAAGAGAATAGGCTTTTGGTTTTGTCCCTACTTTTTCCGTTTCTTTTTTTCCCCTTCTAAGAGCATCTCTAAGAGTACCTAATATTTTCTTCCTAAAAACATGAAGTTTTACGACTCCTAAAAAAGTATTGGAAGAAATAAAGAAGACCATCTACAAGAGATTCTCATAATCCACTCCTAAAATATAGAAGACAATTTTATATCAGGAATCCTATACTATTTCTAAATTATCCTAATCACTTTTATATATTGTTTCTTTCTTGTACATTTGCATTAGGAACCCTTTTCTACTCTTTATGCTTTCCACGCCCTTCCACCTCTAGATTGGCCGACAAACACGCACGGGAGAGAGAATGAATTAGAAGTTATTAGAGATGTGTTTTTTCTCATCTTGCTAAAACCAAGGATTAGGAAGGGATTTAGGTAACTCTTGGAGATGCTCTAATAGAGTTGTACCTTTCTTTCCTATATCAATGAAATAGGCACATTCTCGTGCCATTCGTTAAAAAAAAACTAGCTAGCTTATTATTGTGCAGCTCAATATACTCATGAAAATATACAACTTTATATATATAGTAACTTTCCTTCTGTCATATAAATTGCCTTTTTTATTATACTTTTACAGTAAGATCATGTCCTACTGTTCTGCTAAAAAGGTAACTAATGTCAAATTTTTAATTACTATGTGTGTATTTAATTATTTGTGAAAACAAGAATAATGCTCATCGACATCATTCTAAATTATAAGTAAGTATATATTTTTCACTAACACATAATGAAAAGCATGATAAATAATTAAACTCTAGTTAATCATATTAGGCTGCCTGAATGATGTTCGACTATGCACAATTAAGGTTGATATGTGGACTACCTATGTCTTTTTGAAGGATATTTGATGAATTTGTAGAGGACGGTGACGAGATCGATCGACGAGACTCGGAATCAGTCCTATCCTAACTAGACCTGCAGCTCAACTGTACTGTAATGTATACTTTCTTGTGAGCTATAAAAGGATGTAAAAATAACAAGCATAAATAGCAAATGTTAAAGTAGAAACAACAAAGGAAATGATTTACTTTTACCGTATATATCAGCAAAAAGTCACAAGCTAGAAGAGGACAGCCAAGACTGACCAGGCAGTCCTGAGCGGTGAGCCACGACAGAGGACTTGTAGTTCATCATTGCTTCCGCCGTTTTCGTGAGAGGTCCTTGGTCAATGTCTCAACATTCAACGACAAAGACGGGCCATAAAAAGGAATAGCTCGCTGCATAAGGATCATGTCCTACACGTACGGCTACATGGTTACACATTTATATTATTACAATCTGTTTAATGCACAGAACTACCCTCTCTGTTCACTTTTAACTTTTCTAGATAAAATGTTTTTGTTATGTATTTAGACATAACTAAGTGTATAACAAAAACTATGTATACTAATCGTCACTACTAAAAAAAATAATTTTAGGAGACAAATGTTTTTATTTTTAGGAGGCGGCACGTTTCCAAATGTCTATGTAAATAATTTTAGGAGACAAAATATTTTGGAAGAGACTTAAAAGGTATGTTGCCTCTGTAAGTTGATTTACACATAGATGGGCATTTTAAAGATGTCCGTCTCTGGAAGTCACTATTAACAGAGACTATCATACTAAGTGTCCGCGCATCTAAAACCAATTGACAAAGAGGAGTATCTTAAGATACCTATCTCTAAAAACATATGCTTGCTTTCTTAACAAGCAGGGTTTACCTCCGTAAAAAAATATCTCTAAAATAGTTGCATCAACTCCGATAAAGACAAATTTTATATCATAATTGTATCTCTCGGCATGTTTTTATTTGAAATTGTTTAAAGTGCTAAAATATTATTTTAAGTTCACATATCTTCAAATTTAAAATTTTCAAACATCCTCGGATGTTCACATGGTCAAAGTTGTTGCAGTTCTCAATACAGTCTACAACTTTGTAGTTGATATTTATTTAATTTGAAGTCATTTGGGTCCCAAATATATGTTTTAAGTTTATAGATTTTGAAATTTAAAATTTAGAATTCTATTAAATACATAGTGTTGTAGTGGCGACCTAATCTACATGTTTTCCGTTGATAAGCTTTTAATTTCAAGCTTTTTAGTATCCCAAACATTTGTTTTAAAATTCACATATTTTGAGATTCACTTTTTTTAAAAAAAATTAAACAATTTCGGATGGAGATGCATCATATACCAAAGTTGTAGTGCTTGACAAGATTTAAAACCTTATAATTGAAACTTTTTTCATTTGAGTTCATTGAATAGCCAAAATATTCAATACAACATTACAAAATATTATTTATACAAAAAAAATCCTATATATACTCACAAATAAGTGTGTGCTTGGTAAGGAGGTGCTATTGTTAAGTAGTAGATACCGACTATGTAAGTAATTAAAAAACAAACAGGTCTAGCTTATCTAAACATGAGGCTGACAGTAGATGCATGGTATATATATAGCCTGTTCGGGAGGCCGTATCGTATCGTGGATTATTTACTGCTGGCTGGTTTGGTGTGAGAGAAAAACACTGTTTCTGACTGGAAATTTACGATCGTTTACGAGCAAGCGAACAGGGCGGATATCGTTGGTCACTCAATTATTCAGCACTAAACTAAACCGATGCTCAGTCACTTATGTGAGATGACAAAATAAAGTAATCCTATGGTCAATCACTCAATATGGTCCTTTCTATCTTTTTGTTATTCAGTGATATAATTTGCAAAATATCCATATTAATTTTGGTGGTGTAAACACGTTTAAACTAAACACGCGTTATTGCACTTCGATGTGTGTCTCCGATTTCAGAGGCATGCAATCTATCCTCCATGCATTGCTGAGCTGACAACTTGTCGCAAACACACAAGCCATGCCATCTCAAGTTGAAGCCCTTTTTTGTCTATATATGATCGATCTCGTTAGAGCTAGAGGAGTTTTGTGGGTAACATGTTGATCAAACCAGGGTTTGGACTTCAATTTCTGTTTTTCTCCCTTGCTTTACCCGCAAAACAAATAAAGAAAAAAAATCAATTTGGTGAAAACTTTGAATCGGTTACAATACACTGTTATTTGTTGACTATATATTCTGAATCTTGACACAAGTGCTTAGCATGATCATGTCTATCCATGCAACAAGTACAAAGTCATCATAAGATAAACAATAGAAAAGGTGACTCTATAAGAAAATGTTAAGATGCTTGCAACAAAGCACATGAAACAAGCTATAACACCCAGTTTCCTGAAAGTTCAGCGAATTTTTGGTCCCACGATCAAAGTGCAACAACATATCTTTGTGCTAAAAAAACACTTACTTGCTGCATCTGGTGGAAGTCCTGCCTGTGCCCAACTTACGTGATAAACAAATACACAATGCAACCTTTGACTAACCTGAAATGAACACATCATGTGGTCAATATGCAAATTTCATAGACTCAACTGTGCGGGCAAGCTAGCATCCTTAAAGATATTCCCTTAAGAAAACATCGATCCTTAAGATGAATGAATTGAAAACCATATGGAACCAATTTGGTTCATTTAATTTCTATAACAACAACAGTGAATGCGAATACAAATTGAACTTTTCTACAGCCTTGATATATGTTTACAACAAAAGAAAAGGTACTACCACAAGGTGCAGCCATGGTAGTATTGTTAACATATAATAGATTAACACTGAATTTTACAAGATAGGGAGCTGAGCCCAACTCAGTCCCAGGAAACCATATCAAGGCAAATTTGGGTGCCTACTATATTTTCTTCTACTTATATAAAGCCACCTAATTATTCCTCCTAGGTTTGTCAACTTTTCTTTGTTTTATACTTTAAAAGATGTTTTCAGTTCATATACATCTTTCTTTATGGCTACGTGCATCTTATGATGCATCATCCTTGGATGCGATTTGCATGAAACTTAGTACCAGGAAATTATGATAATTTTTAATAACTTGGTTCCAAGATTATATTTTGCCAGCAGATCGCATTGCAGTCCTGCTCAACTGCCATGTACTGACTTAAGTGTACGAGTTTACCGCAAACTAAACCTAAAAGGTCCTTCTCAAACTTGGTATTCTCCAATAAATTCAACTTTCACACGAGATGCCAAATAATATGGTCAAAATGTAACATGCATGCATAGTATTACTATTGACTAGCAAGGGTTAGCATGTGGCAAATTATTACACTTCACTTTAGCACTTAGTTGCATGCTGAGACAAGTTTATTAGCAACCACCTATGGCAAGAGAAAGAATAAGTAGTTCAGCTTTGATGTAATCACATTAATTTCCTAGTACTGTTGCGCAAATCCATTTGGATCAGGTCCTTGTGCAATACTGTGGAAGCTGGTTTATTTATCAAAGGATCGATCAGGGAAAAAATGGAGTTGCAACTTACAGATCGATAATCATTATTCATGTATATGCTGCTCCATGCATGCATCTCATTGAAGTTACACACAACACAGATACATGAAAACTCACTTCACTATCGTGAGCAGTGGAATGACCAAAAGGACTGAAATTTAATCGCGTAAAAAAATCTGGACCAGTGCCGTGATTATACATAGATCATGGGAAAAATTACAAGATTGTTCAATGTGTGACAATGATTACAAATTAGCTACTCATCATTCGCCATTCCTCTCTATTGCAGTATACTGATCAAGTGATCAACATCGATGAGCTTATTACTGGTTGAGTAATCAAAATGGGGTTCAGTCACTTCAGTGTTACATAGATACCAAAAGGGGAAGAGTGCATGGGCAGCATTTTATTCACAGGGGAACTGGTATTACAATTACAACATCACCAAGAAATAATTACACGCTGCTGGTTGTCATTCAGTAAGTGGCATACTAGCATGGCACATGATCAAACACCAGCCCAACGCCCAAACACTAGAAATCAAACAAGAAATGAAGAGGAAACACACAGAAGCCCTATCCCCTATGCAGCTGCTCATGAGCGGATCTAGAAGAACAATCCCCTGAGAAATCTCTCTGCACGCGCCGCAGCCCGCCCTGCACCGGCCCCGGCGAGCGTGAGAAGAGCGAGCCAGGCGCCGGTTACGAGGATGACGAAGCCCACGAACTTGTGCTCGAGGTTGGTGGCGGGGTTCAGGACAGTGGCGTTGATGAGCACGCAGTAGCCCCAGACAAGGAAGAAGCTCGCGGCCTGCAGGCGGCGGTCCCTGAGATCGATGAGCTGCTGCAGGGCGCCGCGGAGGCCGCCTCCGCCTTGCCCGGCCGCGGCCGCGGGCTGGAGTGGACCGCCCTCGTGATCGATGAGCTGCTGCGTGGCGCCCAGCAGGCTGCTGCCGCCGTCAGCGACGGCGGCGGCCGTGGCTGGGGCTTCCTCGCCGCGGATCTCGTGGTTCTCCATGGATCTGGCTCGCTCGTGGATTTCTGTGGGCTGTGGGTTTAGCAACAAGCGGATTAGGGTTCCTCCAAACCGCTCCTTGGCATTGCTTTTTGTTTCTCTTTTCTTTTCATTTTATAGTGGGGGTGGCGGCCTGAGGCGCAGCGGCACATGGGGTTGCTGCCGCTCATTTCAGACTGGGGGACGGTGTGAACCTGTGTCGGTTTCTTCGGCTGGAAGCACCTTGATGGGCCTGAACAATTACATGGGCTCCCAGTTTCTCACTCTCAGGTGCCTCTGCTTTTAAGATGGGCCATTTTAACCTTTTTCAAAAAAAAAAGAGATGGATCCATGGCCATCCCTTGGGCCTTGGCTCCAACTCCAAGCCTACGACATGACCCAGTATACATCCCCACAGTCCCACCCACCGTGGATACAGATTCACATCTGAACATGGCGGCACTTGGTAGCATAGGCGATTTGGATTCAGCAATTCTACACTGCCAGCAATCGTTTATTTTTTACCAAAGTCGAATCTATTGTGCAGAACGAGCGTTGTTCAGATCCAACACCCGTAAATTGAGACGATAAAATGATTATCTCCACATCTTAGAGAAAAAAAGGTTTGCAGAGAGAGTTTAAAGGGCAAAGTACGCGACCTCTATCACCCATATATATACACGGCTTGAGGCAGCCAAAAGCAAAATTTAGCCAGGGAAGAGGGAACGGCTGCATATATGCGGCTATAGCAGCATCAGTCGTACTTATACAAACCACGCAGCTGCTGATAAAGGACATGGACATATCAGTTATACTCTAGCAGTGCCGATCTAGAAAGCAAGGCAAGGAGGAGCTCCGTCAAATCATCTTCTACCTCTAGCATACATACCACCGTACGGGATTCGTTGACAAGTACAACTAATTAGTTCCAAATTGTTGGCATAAACGATCGAATTGTAGAGAAGAGATACGTACACGAATGATGCTTGGCTGCGTGCCGAGAAGGAGAACGATGTATATGCCCGGCGCCGGCGGTGAGCGAGCATGGTTAGCGACTTAGCGCGCACGGCGGCGGCGACCGGGCGAGTTGACCTGAGGAGATGAGGTAGCATATGGCGCGCGAGGCCAGGGCCAAGGGGGAGATGAATGGTGGAGCTAGCAGGTATGTACGCACTACACTACAGCTACAGGTAGCGCTGATGGTAGATAGGATATGGATGTGCACTCTGCAGTCTGCACTAGGAACGAAGTAGTTTAGTCACCGTACGAGAGAGGGCCGGGTGTGGTGTGTCTGCTAGCTACAGAAATTAGAAAATTTGCACCACTCAGCTACGCGGATCTAGTCATCGGACAACAAGTGGTCCCTGAATTTTAATTGTTTCGATTTGAACTCTCCACCTGCTAGGATGCACAGCATGAATAAGTCCAGTCTCAATGATGTGACATGTCAGAAAAACTGTTATTTTGTACGTATCGAGGAAGAGAGAGAAGATGAGAGTTTCATGCCCCTGTTTCCACGACTTGGAAACCGAACGAAACCTGCATTGAGACGGCTCCTCTGTCTTCCGATCCAGTGCGGCTTGGGGCCATGGCCGTCGTCTTCCTCATTTGCGCCGTTGCAGCCAACTTCATCGCTTGCCCCTCTGTCGGCTGCTTCGTCGCCTCCTGTGCAAGTCGTGCCGTCGCCTCCGATGGATTCAGCGCCGGTGGAGAGCCCGAGGCTGTGCGCCCGGCCCCGGCGGCGGTGTCACGGCGCAAGAGTGAAGACACAGGCGAAGCAAGAAGGCGTATTCGTTGAGGAGAAGCGTAATCAAGCCATTTATGTATTTACGTTTGGATGACATGTGGGACCAGATGTAGGCAGTGGCCGTGAGCCCTTAAATTTCCTGAACTCTGTTCTGTAAGGATTATCGACAATATAATTACTAATACAGTAAAGAGCCGGAGAGATTCCTCCGTCGCTCGACCGAATCCGGCGATCCCTTGTCGTGCTCACGTCGACGGCGTCTCGCCGGCGACCACGGGTCTGTCAAGTGGTATCAAAGGCGATCTTTCCTCGGCGTCAACCCTACCCATCACATCCCCATCTTGGTGCCGCGTCGCCTTCTTCCCTGACTCGTCCGCGCCAGCACCAACCGTAGCTGCGATTCCGGCAACCGGCATCACTACCACCACATCCACGGCGCTCAGCTCACCCTGGTACGTTCCGCATCCGTTTGCTTCGATCTTCAGTTCATAATTCCGGTCGGCAGGTGAGTTTTGTCCACGCCCGAGTGGTGTTCGACAAAATTCCCGTAGGTCCTTCCTTTGGTTGAACTGGGTCAGCAGCGGTTCCGGCGTCACCTAGCCTGAGTTCCACCACCTCCACCATCCTACACAAACCCTCATCCACCAGCCCAACGAGATCTACGGCTCAACAAACAACTGGGGGACTACACCGACAATCATGGTTGGAGGCGAACACCACTGTGAGCAACTCTAATACCGCTCCATTCTGTACAAGTAGCACGCATTCAACAACAAACAAGGGTTGCGGGGCATCTGTCCTCGTGTAAAATTCCAGAGTTTGCTTGTTTTCTGCGGTGCGGTAGCGAACGGTGAGGAAGTATCCATGGATTTGGGTTGCTGAGTGTTGATCTCTGTGTAAAATCCCTCGACCCCGCCTTACTTCCAGGAGTTGAGTACTGGTGAAGCATGCAGTAGGGGAGGTTTTGACCAAACCTGTTGCTTCACCGTGGAGTCCTCAAACGTTCAACAGTTTGCCGCAACGGCTCCACCAAAACCTTCGAAGCAGACTCAGATCCTGCTAGACCACATGTCGAAGAGCAACGAAGATGATAAGTCCTGCTGGGACCAGATCATGGAGAGCGTTGATTTGCTTTTCCACTGAATGAATGATATTGGCGTCATCCAGCAGGAGCTGAAGACTCAAATGCAAGAGAACAACAAGAAAGTCGATAAGTGTGCAGCTGAGCAACAATTCATAGCACAACAGGTCAGAGCAAATGGACAAGCTGTTGCACAGCTCACTCTTCAGCAATTTGATAAAGAGCCACAAGAATTTAGTGATGGTTCAGTGTCTGCCATCTTTGAGGAAGAAGAGGAATTCCAGAATGTGTTTGCCCACACCAAAGACGGCCATAAACCATCAACTTCCAAACAACCTCGACACACCCAGAACCACACAAAGAAAAAGGACCTCCCACATCACACCCTTCCCAAAATGCAATTCCCAACCTTTGATGGTGAAAACCCCAAGATATGGATTGATAACTGTGAGAACTATTTCACCATATACACTATTCCAGAGAGGCTTTGGGTAACTGCATCATCTATGCATTTGCAAGGCAATGCAGCTATGTGGTGGTAGGCTTACAAGCAGTCTCACAGAAAGATCTCATGGACAGACTTCTGCTTAACTGTGCAATCAAAATTTGGTTCTGATGATTATAGATCAGCTGTCCAAGAGATATTGAATCTGAAGCAGACTGGAACAGTGAAAGAATACACCACTCAATTCCAAAAGCTACAATTTTAGGTGTCCATGCACAGTGGCAACTTTGATGAATTGTTCTTTGCAACAACTTATGTGACTGTCCTCAAGGAAGACATTAAATCAATTGTGGAACCCCAGGTCCCAACCACAGTTGAAAGAGCTGCTATTATAGCAAAGATACAACAAAGGATCCTAGAGAGAAACAAATTGAAATATCAGAGAGCCAACAATCCAGCTAGACAATAGCAACACAAAACTGACCAAGCCAATCCTGGCAGATATGGGAACTTATGGAGGGACAAGCAACTGAGAGATTATAGAAAAGCCAACAATTTGTGCTATCACTGTGGAGAAAAGTTTGAGCCTGGCCATGCTGAGGTCTGTACAAAGAAGATCAAACCACAAATCAATGCTCTAGTGGTTAATGATCTAGATAAGGAGATCAATGAGGATCTTCTTAATCAAATGGCAATAGATGAATTGTTGACTGAAGACTTCTGTCAATTGTCATTGAATGCTATGGCTGGTACTGAATCCAAGGATTACATCAAGCTGAAGACCACAGTCAAGAACAAGACAATGTTGACTTTAGTGGACACTGGGAGTTCACATAGCTTTGTTAGTTCACATTTTGTGCAGCTGACCAAACTGCAAACAATCCCAATGGACAAGCAGAAAGTGAAACTTGCTAATGGAGAATGGATGACAACTGCAACTATGGTACCAAATCTCACCTGGTATATTCAAGGCCATACATTCACATCAGACATGATTATGTTGGACCTCTTGCCATATGATGCTATTTTGGGATATGACTGGCTACAGAGCCATAGCCCAATGCACTGTGATTGGGTAGGCAAAACCTTAACATTCCAGCATAAGGGCACTAGTGTTACTCTAAAAGGCATCAAGCCCCACCCATTGCAATTGAGTATAATCTCAGCTAAGCAGTTCTACAAGTCAACACAGGGAAATGATATTTTGGCATTTGTTGTGCTGGACACCATCAAGGAACGGCCAGTAGCAAACAACCCAGTTCTAATGGTTCCCAATGAGGATGTCCAGTTATTGTTGCATCAATATGCTGATGTCTTCAAGGATCCTCAAACCCTTCCACCACTAAGAAGTTATGACCGTGCCATTTCCCTTATGCCTGATGCTGTCCCCATCAATTCCAGACCTTACCATTATTCACCTCAGCATAAAACTAAAATAGAAAACCAAGTGAAACAACTGTTGGATCATGGACTTATCACACACAGCCATAGTCCATTTGCATCACCAGTTCTCTTGGTCAAGAAGAAAGATGGTAGTTGGATGTTTTGCATAGACTACAGAAAGCTCAATTCAATCACTATCAAGTACAAATTTCCAATGCCCATTATTGAAGAAATATTGGATGAGTTACAAGGCTCCAAGGTGTTTACCAAGTTAGATATGATATCTGGATATCACCAAGTGAGGATGTTGCCTGCAGATGAACACAAGATAGCATTTAAAACCCATCAGGGCCACTATCAGTTTAAGG